AAAAAAAAAAAAAAAAATGAATTTATTTTTCGATTAATAATTGGTCGCGCAACCGGCTATCTCACTACCGCCAGTTATCCTTAACGAGTTAACCTTTTCGTTCTCTTACAAACGTTATCGAGCAAAGCAATAACATCTTTATATTATCGTTCATGATCTCTTCTCTTTTCTAAAAATCGTTCAATGTTTTCGATCGAATGTTTGCGCGGCGCAACATTGCCACGAATTCGTGGTAAAATCTCTGGGAGCTAGTGTTTATTGATGTTCCAATGCGTGGCTTCGATCCCGGTTTATTTACACGTCCGACGATTCTTCTTCTGTCGTCCTCCTCCAAGTCCTCGAATGCGCTACTTAATGTCTTCTTGAAATTCAACCTTGCCACACGAGTCGATCCACAAACAACGCGAATTCCCATCTCAATATAAGTCAATTGCGCCTCGAAGACATCAATCAAAGAGCCTTTCCATTTATCAACCGCGTTACCTCGTCGATAAATCTTTTCTTTATTATATATTCTTCAAAATCATCTCCTCTTTCTCTTTTATTCTTTCTTTCTTCTTTTTTTTATGATTTCTTTTTATACATTTGTTATTAAGCTATTAACGTGACCACGTGTGTATATATATATATGTACGTATAAACGAGAAAGTGTTTTTTTTTGAATTTGTTCTTCGTTCGCTGGTGCTTCGTGCTGTTGTCGAGAAACGAAGGATCGAGCGGAAGAAACGAGACGTTAAACGCGTTATTTCGTCAGCCTTTTTTTTTTTCTTTTCTTTTTCATCGTCTATTCGGTTCTTTTTCTTTATTCGTTGAGACGGATGGACCGTTGTTGTTCGGTACCACGCGGTATCTAAAGTATTAAACGAGCCTATAGGTGTTATGTAATATATAGGGCACATAAGCAAGGAATATACATATATACATATAGGTATATGCATATACATATGATATATATATATTTTTTTCAAATTAACGTATTTTTCGATATCGTGAAAGTATAAGAGGAACGGTCTCTGTGTACGTGTGAATGTGAGTGTGTGTGTGAGTATATGTGCGCATGCGTGCTGTGCAACGCTTTTGTGTCATACATAAAGAAAGGGCATAACACGATTCTTTGTTTGATTTGACCGCACCGAAGAAAATCGAATCTGCTGGAAAGGAGAGAAAACCTGTAAGAGAGAACGCGCTATATAATCGAAAGGATTTCTCTTTTCGAAATTTCTAGAGGACGGTCGGAAGGGTCGATCGAACGCCATTTTCATTGATTCGCTACGAAATTCGAGAAAAAACGATGAAAACCAAAGCGATGGATCGCGTAAAGAAATTGCGATCGATTCGTTGTAACGAACGTTTCTATTTATTAAAGTTGAAGAAAGGTGGAGAATTTCGTTCGAATCATTCGAAATGACACGTTCGTTCACGCCTCCCATCGTGCTTCAGTGTGATAAGCCACGAAACGTTAATCTAAAGCCACTATATTTGTAAAACATACCTTTATTTATTATTAATCGTCTGCGCGGAGACACGTAAGAAATAATATTTCGAGCAGAGAATAATATAAACGTACAATACGTATAGATCACGTTGATGATCTCTATATATATGTTTCTTCTTTCACTTATCGAAATACTATTTTTTTCGTTGATCTGTTTATCACGGGAAACAATTGCGCCAATAAAGATAAGTATAATTTAGACGAATGAACGATACAGCATGTTATTTACTATTAAACGCGACGATCGCACTACTTTATGTGGCATTTATAATGTCAGAGCAATTATATTATCACGGATTGGAGGCTCAAAATTATGATAGCTCGATTATTTTCGAACAACAAAAATCTCTGATCAAACGTGTTACAAGGATCTGCGGCATAAGCGTGTTTCTTAAAGATTTTTAAGACGCATCACAAGACTGTAATAATCGTGATCGGCGTTATTCGCGGAAGGATCTCGTATCTGTGTTTATTCCGCATACTTTCTATACGTCTTATTTTCCTATTTTCCCTTTGTTTTCACTTGTTTGTATCTTTTTTTACATTACTTTCCTCGCGTGAATTTTCTATATTTTATACGACATGTTTATATTATTATTATTACTAATTTTCTGCGAATTGTCGCCGATAACGATGCTCGATGAATTAGTTTTTCCTTTTCATTGCCGCCCCTCGAGTTACACAGTTTTGCTCAGAGTGAAAACGAGTCATTATAAAGATCACACGTTGAGTAGTGAGACGAGTTGTGTACGATTTAATATTTCTTTTGTCAACTGTCGGACAAACGTGCTTATTTATAACATTTCAATATAAATATAGTTTCTTTTCTTTCTTTCTTTCTTTCTTTCTTTCTTTCTTTAATTCGTTATTACGTAAATGTGGAACCCTTTGATTTCAACGACTCGATAGTCACGATCTGCACTGTTCCGCAGTTGATTTATTGTAACATACCAAGAGTGCCTACAATAACAGCTGTATGTTCTCTCCCATAGTCCATGATAAAGTTTCAGATTTTTTAACAGCTCGAGATTAAAAGCACACACAGTTTATCGAGAGAGAAAAGACGATGTTCGAGAAGGAGAGGAATCCGTATATTTTGTAAATAATGAATGTGTTAACTCGTGATCGATCACGTTTGTGATCACAGAGAGAATGCCACAATGAACTATGCGTATGTGATGATCGTCGCAAGATTCTCACTCGCAAATTCCAAATAATCTTTTATCTCACGATTACTTGCCCACAGAAAGAAAATGTTACCTTCGACCACGGCGACTATAAATCGATA